TAAAATTAAAAAATGTTCAAAACAAAATTGCTCTTCTTTTCCCCTTCTAGCTAGTTGGAACTGTTTAACATGTATATATGTCTAAGTGCATCAACACAAGGAAGCATAGTGCAAAAATGTGATGGGAACAGGAAGGGTTAAACAGCTCTCCAAGTGTTTGTTCATAAATATATATGGGATCCCAAGCATTAAATCCAGCAGATTCTTACTCTGTGCTCTAACTAATGTACCTCAACATAAAATTCTGAAAGCTTTCAAAGACAGCGAGACTTTAAATCAAAAATTAAAGGCGAGTATAACTGTTTGTCTCTGCAGACATTGAATTAGGGAAAAAAAGGGAAAACCAAATAAACAGATCCAGACTTCAGTCCCTTACAAAGGTATGTTTCCTGATGAGACCTAACTGACTTTTCTGCTTATTTTGTATTTGTTTTACATAAGCTTCTTAAAGTAGGGACAATAATTAGAGCACATTTTTTTCTGCACAATTTTCCACTGAGATAAATTCAGTTACTACCAAAGACTACAGTTACATCAAAAAAATGCATCCTTTTTTGCTTGGTCACATCTGGTAAATCAGATTTAATACTCAGCAATCAATATCCCAGGGTAAACAGCCCACACCTAGAAACACAAGGTGGAAGGTAAAGAAAAGAGATTATATTTGTAAAAGCAGGAAAGTACCATACACAGCCAACAGCTCTGTTTTATTATTAAGAGTTAACATGAAATTAATTGTTAAATAAAAATAGTTTTCTGAGTGATATTTACAGGCATTACTTCTCAAGCTTGGAGTGCCTCCCTGCAATTGCAATTCAGCCCCCGGGCAGGTGCAATCCTTCTCTTCCCACCACAGTTACAGAAAGGCAGAAGTAAATAAGATCAAGAAGTAAAAACAAAACAAAACACTTGGACTACTCAGAAAGGTATTGCAGTCACGGTCCAATTTGAAAGCTGCTGCTGAACCTGCAGATGCTGCCAGAGCTGCTGAGCCCAGGCATTCTGGTGGCAATCAGCACTCACCTCCCATCTCCCACTTTCCATCTCCCAGCTCCTTGCTGGAGATGACCACGACTGAGCCACAGGGCCACGCTCAGGGAGAGCCATGCTGCCCCTCTGCAGAGCCACGTCATCTTTACCCCATATCAAAAGGGTGACTTTTCTCCTGCATTTTACCAACTCCCCCCTGCCCACCTGAAAATGGAGAGATGCTTAGAGAAGTCCTGCAGCTCGGACAGCTAGGGCACTCCCAGCACACCTCTGCCACTGCACCCCTCTGCACAGGGAGCCTGACAGCAGCACTCCCAGGAAAAGATTTGCAAAGCTCCCTCACAGGCCAGCATTTCATCTGCTTTCTAATCAGGCTCCATCCAGCACTGCAGCTTCAATCACTCATCACTTCTGAGCAGTGCCAAAAATTTAATCCAAATCCTGTCAGATTTACTATCCTGCTACTTACTCTTCTGATTTTTACCCTGACCACCCTTCCAAGCTGCCAAGGGGGGAAAAGCAACCCTCAAACCCTGAGTGTGAAACTTTATCTGCCTTCCAAGTGATGGAGCACACCCGTGCAAGTATGACTGAGGAGAGTGAGGCTGCACATCCCAGCTGGACACCAAAGCATGCTTCCCAGCCCTGCAAACACACCCCTGCATTGTGCTGAGCATGGCCCTTAAGAGTGTAGTGGCAAGGAAATTTCAGCTCTTTGACAGAGATGTGGATGGAACATAGTGCTAATTCCAAGTTATTTCAGAAGGAGGAGGATTCCGACATCTTCTTCAAACTACTTAATAATATCTCCTCCACTCATGTGCGTGCTAGGAAAGCCATTTTACCCAGCATAAAAAGAAAAAGGAGAAGGAGGAATAACTGCCTTTAAGGAAAGAGAAAGTACAAATCGTACATTGCCTTCAGACTTCCCCAGTTTGCTGGAAGATGCAACTTTACAAATTCTTCGTTTGGTCCTTGGAGGAGTTTAAGAATCAAAACAGCACGGGGGAAACTTTAGTTTTGGTGTAGCCCTTTCCCCAGCTCCCCGCCAGCAGCGGCCCCATTAGCATTTCTCCGTGCGCTCCGGGGAGCGGCACTGCGAAGTCCCGCACCCTCCGGGACGCGCACCGCAGCGGCACCGGGCGCTGCCCGAGCACACAGACCTCCCCGCCGGCAGCAGGACTTTCGCCTCCTCTCCGCACCGGCGTCCCGGGGCTCCGGCGGGGAGAGCCGGGGAACGGCAGAGGAGCCTCCGCTGCCGTCCCTGTGCTGCCGCCCGGGGCTGCGCTCCGGACGCGGGTGGGACGGACGGAATGGAGCTGGCCGCGGAGGGTGAGAGTGTGTGAGAGTGAGACAGTGTGTGTGTGTATGTGTGCGCATGTACCATACTATACAGTATATAGTACAGTGTAATACACTATATAGTACAGTATACATTACATACAGCATGTTATACTATACTATATAGAATCACAAAATATCCCGAATTGGAAGGCACTCACTGGGATCATCCAGATCACCTCCTGGCCCTGCACAGGACAGCCCCAGGAGTCACACCATGTGCTTGAGAGCGAACGCTTCTTGAACTCTGTCAGCTTTGGTGCTGTGACTACTTCCCTGGGGAGCCTGCTCCGGTGCCCAACCACCCTCTGGGTGAAGAGCCTTTTCCAAGTATCGAGCCTAAGCCTTCCCTGAGATTATATATGTATATAAACACTGTAGAGATATACTACTTTTTGCTGAGCAACAAGCAGAGCGGCATTTCGGACGGATACTCCCCCACTTCACTTACCACCCTCCACCTCCCAAAAGAGAAATCCCCGCACCGAACAGAGGGCGAGTGCCAGGAGCGGTGAACGGGCACCGACAGCCGCGACGGGACCACCGCCCGCATTTTGGGAGAGGAGGGCGTCCGCGGGTCTCACCTTGGGGTTGGTGCGCAGCTGCCGCTCGTCCTCATGGAGCAGGGCGGGTGCGGAGGAGCGGGAGGTGCGGACCAGCACCTGGAGGCAGGGGTAGCGGGCGGTGCCGCGGCAGGCGGCCCCGCAGGAGAAGGTGCAGGCGAAGCGCTCCCCCAGCTGCCGCACCGCCAGCACCGTGCAGTTGGCGGAGCCGCCGCCGCCCCGCTCCTGCAGCGCCGGGCGAAGCCAGCAACAACCCAAACCCAAGAGGGAAAGCAAGCCGGCGGCGATGAGGAGGAAACCCAGCCGCATGCTCTTGTCCTCCGCCTCCGTGTACTCGTAAGCCGCCCGGCTCCTCGCCATCGCCCGGCTGCCGCTGGCATCCGCCGCCGGGCATCAGCCACTGCCATCGGCTAAAACTACCGCCGCTCCCCGCCTCCATCCCCGCCTCCTCCGAGGCTGATTGCGCGTGTAACCAGCACGGAAAAAAAAAAAAAAAAGACAAATAATAAAAAAAGCAAATTTAATCCCGTCTGACCTAATTCAGGGCCCTCCGGGAGTGGAAAGGGACAGCTTGCAACCTGATTATCTGACTGGAGATTTGCTGTGCGGAGGGTTAGTCCGGATTAATATTGGGTACCATCATGCAATGTACAATATCTAGAAGAGGGTGGGTGGGGTCCTTTGGGTGCATTGTGGCCCCCCCCTAAGGCAACATCTCACCACTGGCTTCCTTCTTAAATCTTGGAGATCTTGTGTAAAGTTCCATTCAGTACCCCTAAGGCATCACAGTCTGCAAGGTCTCTATGAGCAGAGGAGGAAATGGATATGAAATGAAAGAAATTAAGCATCCACAAGTGAGAAGTCAGCTTCTATTTTCACCTTATTAATAAAGAAGGGCATAATGGGAATTAGCCAAATGTTAACATTTTTGGAGTTCAAAGTAAAGTGTTCTGGCCAGCCCCAAAACCAGCATCTGCACAGTAGGGACAGAGATAACAAGACAAGCAAGATGATAGCTATCACACACAGGAGTTGCTTTGAACAGGAAGGTATTGACCCTTGAAGGTTCACCCTAAGAAATGCTGTCTTCCAAGCAGGTTTGCAAGAAAAGCTGCTGATTCAAGAAAATGTATTTATTTGGCAAATAAAGCTTGGTTATTAGCCAGCATTTCCCACTGTGGCAACACAAATTCTTCGGTGCCAAAGTACCATATGCAATACTTATAGTTCTATTCTGTAGTCTTTATCACAGGCAATTAGTATAACAAAATGAGGCCCGAGCTGATAGCTGAACTTGATGGCACTGTAGACAAGAAGGTACAGAAATGCAGAAAAAGTTTGGGAAATAGCACTTTCCTTTTCCAATTTCTTTCCCACTGCAGACTGCAACATCAAACTTTTATAAATGAAGCTGATCCGTAGGTTCTCCAAATGGACTATTAAGCAAGGTTTGGCAGGAAGGCTATTAAGTCCACGCTGTGCCATGAATATAGATGGATGTAAATATTGTCCTTGCTTGCACAAGTGAACCACCGCACTCCCCTCAAGCCAGCTGCTTTGCAGTAGCCTGCCCTGATTATCAAAGGGTTTCTGAAAAAGTATACCAGCTCTGAGCTGGAATTATGGGTTTTTTTACTTAAAACTCCTATAGGTGTTTATACTAGAAACTCAACTCCTCTTGCCTAGTCCTTGGCTCTGTGCCGCCAGCACTTGTAGTGACAGCAGTCTCTAATGGTAGAGGCTTGTTGCATAGTTTTCATAATATAAAAAATAAAATTATAATCAGGTTGATCAGTCACGTACCACCTGAAAGGGAAGCTCCAGCTCTGCTTTCTCAGTTTAAATGAGCTGCGGCTTCCTTCTGTCTTACCTCCTGAACAGCTGGCCTTCCATACTTGGTTCAAGTCCCTGCAATCCCTTGTACATAAAGTGCTGTCAGATGGAAATTAAGGCAACAGCTCACTGGGTGACAGAGCAACCTTGAGCTAGTCCTCCTGTGTGCATCCAAGCCCTACATCCTCCACAGCTGGGGAGATGCTGAAGTTGTACTTTAACTAGAAATGGACTAAGCATTCACCAGGTGATCTCATAGATTCTGAACTTCTGCACCAATGACTCAGTCAAGACTTAAAGTCTATTTGGATCAATTTGAAGTGAAAAATGATCATCAGTGCCTGATCACTGTAGCAGAGTAAAGGGGGCCCATTGTAAAGATTTTAGCTCTGCTGTCACCTGTTGAGGGCAGGAGTGGGGATGCTGGCTCCAGGACCATGGGCTGCACCAGGAGCCACCAGGGCTGAGAAAGCTGGCATATGAAGTCCAACGTCTATATGAAAATCTCAACAGCAGAAGACCAGATTGCTGCCTGCTCTTTTGGGCCCTTCCTTGCCCCACAACCAAGGGACAGCCTTACCTGTGGCCAATTGCAGCTGACCCACCTGGTATGGCCAGTGCTGAGAACACCTCTGCCTTGGTCAGGCAGCTGGAGGCTGGGCAGCCACAGCGCAGCTCTGCCACCACACCCACTCCGACTGCTCACTGGGCCTGGGCTCACACCTCCCTGTTTCCTTGCACAAGCCTCGTGCTGGAGTGCGGGATGCTGACTGCCCCTCTTCAGGAAATGAACTACCTTTTCCAAAAGCAAATATCTAAATAGAACAACTGAGTGCCTTTATAAAACAAATGCTGTGATGCCCACCAGAAAGTTAACTGGCCTTCCAAGGGAAGACAGATCTCTGAAACAACCAAACCCACCCTTTACTCAAGAATAAGTTTAGAGAATGCTGAAGGGTTTCCACAGAGGTTCATCAATGTCTGCACCAGAGAGCTTTGGGACACCTGCCTTCCTTTCGCTCCTCATCAGGACTGTTTACAGCTGATGAAGGATGGCCCAATCATAACAACTGGCTACTTCACTGGATTGTTTGCTAAATCAGAGGGAGTTCAAAAGGTGATTTTACAGAAAATTATTTTGGTAGTTTCAACAGGAAAAACCTGACATGTATTAACTCACTAGTACCAAGAAGACAATATAAAATACAAATGAGAAACTGAAGCCTAGAAAAACAATACACAAACTCAGTTCAACACTGCTAATCCAGAAGTGAGCTGAATCAGTAACAGTCAAAACTATCGTTCAATGTGCTTTAACATTGCTTTCAAAATTTTACCTCTAACAGTAAAGTGGTTTTAAGTGCTAAAGCCACTGAAACTATTAAACCCAAAATTTCAAAGTAGGTTATCCAGCTGCATTTCCTCAGGTCTTTTTAACATAGTGGAAACTTTCAGATTTATGGAAACAAGAGCATGCATACTTATCACAGAAAAATAAAAACTTAATTGACATACTATATATGAAAATAAAACCAGCAGCTGTCAATCCAGACTAACTGCTAAATCCAATCTGCATTACCAGAATTCAATTTCTACTAGCTTTGGGCAGTGGCAAATTTTGAGGGACACAATGAAAAGGTACTTGACAACTCATTTCACATGCTGAAATTTGGCTTGAATAGTAACTGTTATATTTAGGGTCTTAAACCAAAAGCACTGTGTAGCTATCCCATGGTTAGAATGGCAGCTGTGCATTTAGAGGCTTTTCTTGAGTATGACAGCAACCAATTTTTCCTTTCTGTTTCATTCAATGTCCAGCCATGGAATTATTTTCAATTGGAAGTTACCAAGGGATTGGGGAAGGGGGGGGTGAGGGAGGCAGGGGGAGAGGGAATTTTCTTAGAGGTGACTAGCAACTTTGAACAGCATTATTTAGAAGATGGACAGCCTTCTGCCATAGCCATGGCCACCTAGGAGCCACTCAGGAGCAAGATGATGGACCCACAGACCTGTTTCCCAGCCCTACCCAGGTCATGCCAAAGACTGTTTCTGGTCTCTCCTGCATCTGAATACAATACACAAATTCTTATTTGGTTACATTCTCCTTTTTTTTTCATGGAAACTGTAAAACAAACAGACAAGAAATACTGGCTTGGGGTCAGAGAGGATTTCAGACACGCCATGCAGCCAAGTGATACAATCATACATCTTCGTACTGTAGAAATGCTACACAGCCATGATGGAGTGGTGTGGTCAGTTGTGAACCCCGACAGATGCAGCCGACACTTCATCGAAGGTCAGTCACATGAGAAATATTTTTACCCATGTGAGCATCTGCAGGCTTTCCTGGATTACTTGGGGCTTCAATTAGATTATAATCATGCCCATGAAAGTTCTCATGTGTGTATTTGCAGCACCACACCACTAAGGTTGAGGAGACCAAGTGTGGGGTGGTTTTTTGTTTGCTCATTTTTAAAGACCCCAGTGGAATATGCTTAACCCTTTCCTTCATGACACTCTGGTAGCTGTGATTTTCCCACAAGCAGGGTAGTCTAAGTAACAATTGCTGAAATAAGAAGTGTCTTTTGCAATACCAGATGTAATCAAATCAGTGAAACTTATGTTAAACCCTGGAAGTTGAAGGTAGTAGATCTGTAGAGAAAGTGGAGCTAACTATTCAATAAAGATTTGTAAACAATATGCCACAAGGACTATGAGACATGTTGGACAGGTAAGAAACAGGAATACTTCTACTTCTTTCCAAGAAGACTGGGTTTTCTACTCAGAACTTACCTTGCACACTGTTGTATAAAACTAGTTATGGGGAAAAACACCCACCTCAAATTTAAAAACAGCATTCTAGTATATCCCTATTTATAGCATTAGTGGAATGTAAAAACATATTAAATAAGCCTCAGAGCTTAATAGTCAGTCTGAAAATCTGCAGGGCAATTCAGTCACCCATTTGCCACATGAGTATGTAAATGAGGGCTGAGGTTTTCTTCCTTTCAGTAAAAAAAAGCAGTATGTTCTTTTTTTTCAATTTTTAAAATTAATATGGTATCAGTTAAGAAGTGGTTTCAATCTTACACCTTGTTTTCTGTTTATATCTATTGCTCTTGCTTCAACCCACAGTGTAAAATGAAATTAGGTCACAGATTTTAAAGTCTCCATACATACTTATTTAACTGATAATCAGGAGCCAGACTGTTCTTCCACCTGGAAGGAGCAAAGCACCAGTTCCATGCTCACTGGTGAGAAGTTTTCCAAAATCAGGCATTTCACATTTTTGAAAGACTGGGAAGTTGAATACAACCGTATCATCATGTATTTTTTGGGAGAACTTGGGTTCCCAATTTCAGTTTAATTGCTTTTAAAGTGACATAGGTATTTAGTATTTTAATGTAAGTGATCTTGCTCCCTTTACCATATATTGTTAATTTCCATGAACATGAAAAATAATTGCATTTGATTTGAAGAAGGAAATATAATTTTGGGAATCCTTACCAAAAAAAAAAAAAAAAACCAAACCACACAGGTCATAATGAACCTCTGACAGTAAAAAATGTAACATTAATTGTGGAGGGAACAATATGCTTTTGGAAAATTATCATTCTGAAAATTTATAAATTTGTATTTGGATAATCAAATATATGTTTGAATCTGCTCTGGTTTGAGAAACGGAACAAGCCACCATCTTTTTCAGCTGTGCTATTTATATGGATTATAACCATTCTCTTCCTTCAGGCTGGGAAAACTTTGCTTTCATAATAGAAAAAAAAATCATCAACAGGCTTGTATTTTTATGTTTACAATCTTAAAATAGGTATTAAAAAAAGTTCAGAATTTAAAATTCACCATACACCTGATACAGAACCACAGCAAGGCCACTAATGGTCCAGTTTCCAAGCATAATTCAATACATGCAAACAAACTGGTTTTGCACTACATGGAAAAATGGGTCAAAATGGAAAAAGAAACCCCAAATCCCAGGATTCACTAACATGTCTTGCTTTGGTAATTTCAGGTATTTTTCAATGATCTGCATCACCAGAGGCAACTCAATGAGAAGTAGCAACCATATCTAGAAAAATAAAACTATCCCAAACAGTTCAGGTTTTTTTTTCTCCACTCAGAACAGTTGCAGTTTTCAGAACCAGTCTATATTCATGTTTATTTGCATCTGGAAGTTCACGTAATAGCAATCACCAAATGAAGTGTATTTCTGATTTCAGTGGGAAAACACCAACGTGGAACTAAGCTGTGATCAGTTCTAACCCAAGCTTCTCCCAAGTGATGAATTCTTGAAGCATCTTTCTATCATTTGACATGGTACCCACCCAGCTTTCTAAAAATTATCTGCTATTATAAAGAGGGGATCTGAAACCAAGGTTAACCAAAGTTTTTAGCCATGGAAACTTTACTGTGGAAAAGAATATGAAATTCTCATAAATTTACTTGTCAGCAGCAAAAAGACTCTTCAAGTGTCTTAACCACTGTACAGCTCGATAGTTTTAATACGTCAATTTTTTTTTCCATATTTCATTGTTGAAGAAATAATTTCACAATCTCAAATCAAAGTCAACACTGCAGTGAGGAGAGCTTTTCTACTTTATTACAAAGAGAAGAAGCCTTTATGTGGTCAGAAAATACAAGATTGATCTTTTTTTTTTCTCTTCCTATGAAACGCTGCTGTTCAAACAGCCAGAGTGAATTGTCTCAGTTCACTTCTTTAAGTCCCATCACATTCACTTGGGTATGGATGTCCTTGGCTGCTGAAAATCTGGCCCTTTAGTGCACAGGGCGACAAAGTAGTCCCCTGACCAGCAGTTCCAGAATGTCCCGTTTTCATATATTGCATCCATGCACACCTCCTAAAAATGAGGTACAGCAGGGCAAACATTTTCCAAAATAGATGTCATATATATAATATATACACATTCGTACATACATACCTTTATTCATGTGATGTCCAAAAATTTAAAAAAAATGTACACATTTATTACAAAATCGTAACAAAGACTGGACAGTGTTTTGCTCATTCTGGAAAGATGAAGCTCAGTAATACACAACCCTGGAAACTAACCAGAGACTGTGGCAATATCTTTCTTCTAAACAGTCAGATATTCTTGCATTAAGCTTGGCGAAAACTGCCTTTCAAAGACAGAAGGGGAAGTAAAATGAAGGAAGCAAACCTTGCTCATCTTTCCAAATGAAATACGAGAAGGATCTTCACATAAAAATGCACAAACATTTTTTATTACCAATAGTGCTACAATGAACAATGCAAATTTTGTTGTCTAATTTTTTGTCTTTTTTCTTTTTTTTTGTTTTTACATTTTGGAAAACTAAGTGGTAAACTTTTGTCAGTGTACTCGCTTGTCTTTACAGACCCAAGCTTGTCTGCTGGCAAAAAAGAAAACAAACAAAAATTCAGACCCTGCTCAAACTAAAGAAAAACAATTACAAATTTAGTTGTTGGGCAGCACATAATTAGTAAGGCAGGACCTCAAATGGTGACCCTTCGCATGAGCCAATTGCCAGATCCTCAAGGAATTAAAACCAGGATGCCTGAGCCACATCAGTTCTGCAGTTATGTTGAGTATTGTGCTGAGACAGCCATACCCCAAGAAAAGGGAAGTCTTTAGAAGGCTTGCTGAGCAGGGTTGTAGTTGAAGGTTGATGGCAGATGAGGCCTTTCTTCTAATTTGTCATATTCCAGGTGGAACTCCTACAATTAAAAAAAAAAAGAAAAAAAAGACAAACACAAATAAAACAATGTATCATTTACCTGTCAACACCTGGTCTACCAGCCATACTTGAAAAGCACAAATACAGAGGAGGTCAAGTACTAAATTACCCTAAGGCAAAACCACATGACTTTGCTATCTTGAATTCCATATTTTAAGAAGAAAAAATTACAACAATACTAAAGTCTTTACACCTGCAACATGTAGGCTCTCCTTCTGAATGCTACATGACTCAGAACCCCTGTTACAATCTCAAGCAATTTTATATATGCACATACACAAAACACAAACAATCACAGCATGAGCTGAATTATAAACAAAAGCTGTCTTAAAACATGCTAGGAGTACAGAGGCTTATTCTGGATGGACTAAAGTTTGGGAACATTTTCATGTCATACTACCAGGTCAAATTGCTTCATGATGCACCAGGGGAGGTTCAGGTTAGACATGAGGGAGGTGTTCCAGAAACAACTGGACTTAGTCTGTTTGACATGGCGGTGATCAGCCAAAGGCTGTTTCTGATCTTATAGGTATCTTCTAATGTAAATGATTCTGTGAAAATGTCTATGTACAAAGTACTGAGACTTATTTAAGCCAATATTGACATATTTCTCCGCATTTCATGCTCATATTTAAGCCCCAGACCCACCAAACCTGAAATCTTATACTCTTCAGACCTTTCCTAAGTTTAACTGTGTATCATCCCATTTAGTCTTCATTCAAGAAACAGGGTAAGCAGAAGTTTCAGAACTGTTTTTTAGGGGTAGTTCTTGGTAATTCAACAACAACAACTTTGGGCATGAATAGTAACTTGTTTTATCTAACTTGGTGGAGAACCTCAGCAGAACATCATCTGCAAAGAAAACTTAGCCCACTATTTTTACACAAAGATGAAAACACATGAGTAATGATTATTTCAGAACACTCTCAAAAGTGATTACATAGTCTAATACTTCAGTACATATAAATCTGTACTAAATTAATGCAAGAACAGAAATAAAATTTAGGAAATCCAACTCTTACACCTCTCTTTTTTCATGGCAAAACAAGGTCCATTCAGCACAGAAAGAACATTCAGAATGGTAAGGAAAAAAAGTAGTGGAAAATGTGATGCATTATGCACTCCCCTGAGAATACTGTTCCTAAAACTGGAAAACCCTAGAAAAACCTGTGTGAGGTTACAGCCATCTGCACTGAAATGTTGCACATCTGCTTTATTTCTAGTTCCCGGCTCTCTATTCCAACCAAAGATTTTTTGTTGTTGTTTTTGTTTTGGTTGGTTGGTTTTTGGGGGTTCTTTATTTATTTATTTAGTTGGTGTTTGGGCTTTTTTAGGTCATATATACAAAAGTGAATCATTTCTGGCATTCCTAATAAAAACTGCATGCCAGTTGGTGTAAGTTCTCTTTTTGAGCAGATACACACATGCTGAGACTGAAAAGATGCTGCAACTCTCCCTCCCTGGGTAAGAAGCGAGATCAAGGGGTACAAGTCCATACATCTACTTTGGTGTCAAAGGCTGGATTAGGTTGGGTGGATCTCAGGGGGCCATCAGGAAGGATGGAGAGGGACTTTTTGCAAGGGCATAGGACAAGGGGGAGTGGCTTTAAGCTGAAGAAGGGCAGCATTTAGATTAGATATTAGAAATAAATTCTTCACTATGAGAGTGGTGAGGCACTGGAATAGGCTACCCAGAGAAGCTGTGGCTACCCCATCCCTGGTAGTGTTTAAGACCAGGTTGGATGGGTCTTTGAGCAACCTGATCAAGTGGAAGGTGTCCTTGTCCATGGTACAGGTGTTTAAGTAGATGGTCTTTAATGTTTCTTCCAACCCAAACCATTCTATGATTCCACGATCTCCAGTAATTCTGCAGTCATTTTATTAAAAGGTATTACTCCAGCTTTCTCTGCCTTTCATGACTGTCAAAGTTTCTTTCTTTTAAATAATCAAGGAAGGGCCTGCAGATACTATCTATCTATGGTCAGCTTCAACTAGTTAACTGAGCTTCCACAAGCTCTGAAATGCCTTCAAAATTACCCATGGCAAATTGCTAACCAAACCGGTAAGATACAGTAAGTATCAGAAACCAGAGAGTATCAGTATCCTAAAAAAGGGTTTTCCAAACTTGAGGTTGTTGTGAGCCTCTACTGGCAGTGGGAGCTGCTAACAAGGTGCCTGGAATAAATGCTCAGGAGGCTGAGCAATCCTTTGTGTCCCACAAATTGGAAGTCCCTCTTTCAGAAGGAGTATGTTTCCCTATCAAATTTTCTCTAGAAGTATGTGAGTTCATACTTCAAAATGTCATTGACTGCTAAAATAAACAGGCTTAAAACAGCCTTCTTGATTTGCATCCCAGTGTCAGTAAAGTTCAAATTCAATATTCAGTGGCATGTAAGAACACCTGAAGTTCTGTCTGACAGTACCTAAAAAAGAATTAATTGACCAGTATTTCTGGAAACTGTTCTTGTTAGGGTGGGTCTGTATTAGTCTTCCTCAGAGGAAATGTCCACTACAGAAATTAATGTCTCAAACAGAGACAATACTGTCTTTAAAAGTAATGCTAAGCATCAAATAGCAGCTGCATACATTTACCACAGGAAGTAAAAGGAGATCCTGAAGTGGTTACTATTATCCTTATATAATGCTCCTAAGTAAAAAGAAATGCTGTGTGTCCATACAAGCTAAAACTACAATTCCATTGATATGTGAAACTACGTGAGGCTCACTGCTTGTAAATAAATGGAAAACATACATTTGACTCCAAAAAAGAAACCTATCCTTTCAAAAGGTAATTACTTCCTCTCTGATGACATTATGCAATAATAAAATAGCTTTAAATAGAATCTTGGGGAACTTAAGGAAGCATACCATGCAGCAAATGAGTAATTCAAGTAAAAACAAAAGGTTTCCTTTTGTTTCTGTTTTCTTTTTGAGGAGTGGTGCTTTTGTTTAGAAGTTTTGGAATTGCCTTGCACTTAGGAAAAACTATGAAAGCAGGGCTCACCGCTAAAACTGTCAGTTACAGATTCTTGGGTTTTCTTGCAGCAGTAAAAGTCAGCAGAGGCAAGGAGTCACATATGCAATTGGACTAAAGAACCTCCTGTATCCTTCAGGGCAAGTGGAATGTTAATTCCTGAGGGGAGTTTGCACAAACTATGCAAAATTACTGGGTGGAGTGGGGGAGGAAATAAAAATATCATGTATCTAGTTAATACTTATCTAAATGGTAAATGGCTGTATAGACAGAGGAAGACACTGAACTTTAGACAGAGGAAGACACTGAACTTTATTCTTTTTAAAATGGATGTTTAAAATCATATCAACAGACACGTAACTATTTCATGCAATGTTCCATAATCTCCAAATGAAATGCCTTTTCAGCAAACAATTCATAAATTGGGCTGGTGGTGAAAAGATTTCTTATTCTATGAAATACCTAAGCACGTGGAACCACAGAATATAGTTACAATATGCTGGAACACATCTACTGAGTTCAAGGCTTCAAGGTTAATCTGATTTGATCTGTTGTTTTTTAGAGAAAAGAAGAGTGTGATACAGTATCTACAGATGGTCCGACACAGAATATTATTGACAGTATTAATGGACAGAATGGGACCAATAGGTTATGACAGTTGGGATAGGAAAAAACTATAGCCTTCTGATTTTTAATGCCTCTTGGTCTACAGTATAGAAAACAAGCATCATAGAAATATGCCTCCTCCTTAGAAGAACTCTGATTTGCAAATAACAAAGCATGGAATTCCTAAGTATGGTTAAGGTGAGATTGTACCCAAAAACCAAAAAAGCATTCCCCGCACCCACCCCACATCCATTTTAAATTCCTAAGTGAGGTGTAGCAGCATCCTATTTAATTTTCTAAAGCAAAGTAATAAAATGTTTGCAAGTACAACTTCTAAAACTCCAAATAATGCTTTTCATTCTTCAACTCTATGCTGTGGGAATAGCTTTCAATTTCAACAAATCTCCTAAAAGAAGTCTTTTGTCCTTCTACCTCCCAAAGAAAACTGGAAATAAGAGAGACAGCTCCTTATTTTCCACAAGCAAGCCAATGTTTTAAACAACTTTTTTTCTCTCACATATCAGAAATTAAGGTAACGAACCTAAATAACAGGAGAATAAAAAGACAAGAGATTTTTGTGTTTTACTCTTGTTGTTGTAAAAATACATGGCTGACAGACTTAAAGTATCTACACAAGGGAAAAGAGGTACCTTAGCTACTTTCCTCCAGTTAAGACAGTCAAAGAAGTAATATGTTCCCCTCTCGTACGTATTGGTTTTCATTGTTGGCTCCATGCCGGGTGCCCTGGTGATCCATACTCGTTCTTCTTTGTGGTATCTCCAATCCCGATTAAATCTTTAATTTGTAACAGAAAGAAAAAATAATTCTTTGTGTTAGTTATCTGAAATTGACTTCATAGACTAACTTTAAAGGTTTCAATCAGAACTGTACATTGCATTCAAATCCTAAACAAAATTTCTACAACATGGTCAAACCTGTAATTTCATACCTCTTCCGTATAGTTATTACACCTCAAACTAAAACACATGAGAAATTTCAAGCCTGGCAGGTTCTAACAGCAAACTCTTTTTATGAGTATTTACTTGGTTCTTATCTGGTTGATGACAGGCAAGTTACACATTCAATAAAGACTGGCACCTGCCACTTTTTCCACAGTGTTTCATATGCAAAATACATGAAATGGGCTTCTGATTTCCACTATACCAATGTAAAAAAAACTCTGTACAAAATGACACCAAGGTTGGAGGAGGTATTTTAAAAAAAGCTTTACAGTTAAAGATTGACTAAGCTTCTTTCTTTCAATGTCTAACTTGTTTGGGTGTTCTGGGTTTTGTCTTGTTTTGGTTTTTTTTTTAACATCTGCCATTTCATTATTGCAATAGATTAACTCATATAAGACTGACAAAATGGTTTGAACGTACAGCTCTACTGCTGCTAATAGCTGTAATACATCTCCTCCATTCATGTAATAGAGATAAAACAGGAGATCTTCTCCATATCGGCCAAGTTTTATTGCAGCCAGCTGCAAAAGATTGAAGAAAATGAGGATGAAAAATCACAATAGATAAATGTTTTAAAACACACTACCCCACTTAAATAATACAAGGATACATCCAGAACTTTCATCCTTCTATTCTAAGAGTGTTGAAAATTATATTCTAATACAACAGGAGTAATAATTATTAGAACAATAAGTTTTTCTTCACTTTTAGTTAACCTTTCCAAGTTAAAGGATACAATAGAAAAATACACATGTAACAAACCAGCAAGACAGAATTTTCTCCCTGTTTGTTATCTGTGTATTCGCATCTTCATATTTTACTTCAAAAAACCCACAACCACAACTTCTGCATGTATTTGGTCCCTTCACGTCCTATTAAGTAACACTACTAAAATTTCTTATGCTATTTTTCAATGATCCCTTCAAATAGCTGAAACAAAATATATCTCAAAAATCCCTTTTCATGTAGATATCGAATGCAACAGATAAATGAGAACACAATTCTGAGCTTATCTCAAGAAGAAATACCTCAATTTAATTTGCCATTTTAATTATATCACAAAAAACTTCAACTTCATATGAAGGGCAAACTCTTAAAAACATGCTGTGCTTTTTTAGCTGTTCTTTTTTATACCCATTCTTTTTTCATAAGATACACAATGGGTGTTTGATGTGTCCCATCAGCCTGTTAACTCAGCTCTGCTTCTAGAAAGATTGAAGACATGCACAAAATGGACTTATTTTGAACATCTGTCTGAAAGAAAATTTAGAAAATTACTGGTAATAAATTAACAAAAAATGCACACACATATACACGTACTCACCTTATCCCTAATGTGAATGTTAGTTAAGTATTCAGATGGAACATGGAAGTCTAAAAAAGAATCGGAATTGATGCAACTATTAAGACATGTAAATTTATATAATTTGCAAATAGTAAGATTGAATTTAATAGTTATTTCTCTCTTACCTATGTCTTGAGGTCGACAAGGTGACGATGCCCATGGGGATGCAAATTTGGGATAAAGATTTCTGAGAAAAGAGAAACATAAATTTATAAAAATTAACCGCCAAACCAACCAACCAACAAAACCCCTCTGTAATCAATTTCACTAACCTAAGAACTATATTACACAACCAAATCCCTAGCTGGGGTAAGAAGTAAAAAGGAAACTTTCCTAAAGCAGTTACATTTATTACTTTTCTTTTTATATGCAGAACAAGGTTGCATTTAAATTGACATGGGAAACTATAGGGTCAAGATTTCCTTTTAAATCTATCTTTCATTCAAGTTAGATGCCAGAGGTCCCAGCCTTTTTCAGGTATCCAGTGTTATTATGCATGGTTTCAATTTAACTAGCAATAGTTGTCACAAGCCTGGTGGGTTCTGATTTATTAGTCTATGATTTAAAATGGGAGGAAACATTTATATTGGTAGGTTGCTTTTTAAATCTGATCAGTAAAGATCTTACTCTTCTTCAAAACAGGAGTTAGAAGGGATAATTTAATCCACTAGCAATGTATACAAAGTTCTGATTTTTTTTTTCCAAAATAACATTCATTGTGCTAGGCTTTTATGTCACACAGGTATTTTTACCAACCAAACTACCAGACAGGGCAGAAACATTTGCCTTTTCATATGTGACACAGTTTTAGTTTTTCAAACAAAAATTCATAGAGCAAGGGAAGAACATTTAACATAAGGAAGGATGGCAGTCCAGACACTGAGGTCTGCATGGGCTGCTTGCAAAGCTTTTCTGCAGCATGAAGTAAGACCGGCTTTATAGTATAGGAACTGACTGCATCAAATGTTAACTCCTATCCTCCCCATCCAAGAACCTAAATACACTATATATGGTAATTAAATACTAAAAATACAGTTATTTACAACACAGCTGCTAAGAAAAGCAGAGTAATAAGGAGCCATTTTTCCTGTGCTTAATATCCACATTCATCAAGCTTTCCTGAATTACATGCAGCTCGATATAAATTTATGAAAGATGGAAACTGAGTGAGTTTGCTGTCATTTTTTTAATACAGTATGGGCAAACCTTAAAATATATATACTACTCTGTCTATAAGGCTAACACTATATGAATCTGTGATGAAAAGGTGTGAGATTTTCAGCTGAAAGTCAGAACATCAGAAATTAATTTTTTCTCACAACTGCAGTCACCTGAAAGACACCAGTTTTGTTTAAACTGATCCAAGTTCCTTCAGTAATTATCGTAAAAAGAAAGGCACCCTGGGTTGGCTGGCTATTCATCTCCCCTGTCTAAAGCACTTCTTCTAGTGTTTGTGCAGTCACTGACTACTTTTCTCCCCACTGCCTCTGCAGCAAAAATAGATGGCTATACTAGTTTATTTAGGTGAACCAAGCCACTGGAAGTTAACTACTTTCATTTAAACTAATCTTCAATGCAGCCTAACACTGCAGGTGTTCTGTTGATCATTACACTGTATAAATCTAATTTATTCCCAAACTGCCAAGAATTAAGTATAAATATCCCCAAGGAAAATTATTATTAGAAAAGGAATGCATACATTACATTTACAAACAATATACTGTCAATTCCTTGAAGAAAGTCCTAAAGAAGTTAAAAGAATAAGCAAAGCCACTAGATTTATTGAATGCTTGCCCAAAAGCAAAGTTCTCCTTGTTACGAAAATTTTTTTATTGTCATTACATTTTCAAATTTTATTTGGCAAGCCAGCATGTGGGTTTAATAGTCAAGTGAACTAAGTGAACAGACTCTGAAAGACAGCATAATAAAATCTAAAGTGAAGATGGGATTAAATCCCAGAAACTTACTCAGGAGAGTTGAGATTGAGACCTAATGTTGTTAAATCACTTCCTAATGCAAGATGTACCATTCCTGGATCTGTCTCTGCTGCCCTGATGAATGTTAACAAGCCAATCATTCCAAACTGGTCCGTCACCATCCCTTGAGGAATGTTGGTAACCCGGCCTGGGAAAGAAGAACAAATTAATTTTCTTCTTTTAAGAAGCAGAGGAAGCAACAAGGTAATCTAAATGACTGTCAAAACTTTCAAAGCAGAAAAAATGGAATTATACATACCATCAGGTAACACCTGGATCCCTTTTTTCTGCTGGTTGTTGTTTTGCGTAGTCGAACTTTTATCTCCAGGAAACTTGGGCCCATCTGTGCTGGATGATGTTTTGCCTGATGTACTCAAATTCTAGTAAAGATAATTTGCAGAGTTGGTATGATGAAAACAAACCAATATGGAAACACTTATTGACTATATCTTTTCAGTCAAGCACTCTAAGCCAGTATATCAAGTCACTTCATAAATGGCATCAAGCTGAAGCCCCTGAGCTCTGCTGGCAAACCTTATATGTTACTTATAATTTTCCAAAGTATACCTGTCATACAGGTATTAATAGGCTAAAGGTTTGCAGTCAAAAGAATAAATTATTTTACACTCAAGTTGGAATATACAGGGGCTATCCCAAGTGCCTGTGACTAGGGGTTCCTTTGGATCACCATATCATGGATTTTCCCCAAAGGCCTGCTCCTGAATAACACTCTGTGACACAGTAACAGGTAATACTCAGGCCAACTTCAGGTGCAAGCAACATACAATTTGCACCTATCAGGAAAGACATGTAAATACTATGTCTGATATAAACACTATGCCAGACTATGTCTGGCAGGAAAACAGACTATGCTCCAGAAATCTATATACTGAGAAAATATATTTGCCCTATGTAAAACTTCTAACTCTTTCATAATCTTCATAACAAGTCTACAGTTATACAATTAATCACATTTACTCTCCCCTTACTGTACACAGTACTATCCTATCAGAACATTTTCCTCATGATAAAACTACCCACAACACTTGGGGGACAGACTTCCTCATGTCTCTCTTTTTGAACAGTTCATTTTTTAGTTCTTACATGAGTTTGTAGTCATGTCTACTACTTGCTCACCAATATTTATGGCACTGTCATTAACATATTTTTTGCAATTAGAAATAATAAAACAATCTGAAACTAGAACATTTTGTCAAATAGTGCAGGAAAGTGTCCTCTGCCATCCACATTTTATTCACCTGTTTGCATAAAATAGCATTTTTTTAATTACAAAGTTTTCAGAGTAAACAATGAAGAAAAGCCCATAATCTTATGCTCTAAGCTATATATCTAATGCACAATAATTATGCCAATACTTAAGATATAATCAACCTCAGCAGTCTACAATATAGTCACCAATGCTCTCTATTAATGCTCTCTGATTCCACATAACAATTAAGCATTTCACCTTAAGGAGATATTGTACCCCTTAACTTTTAAAGGATTGGACAACTTTGAAGAAAAATCTTATAATGTGTCGATTACTACTACTGATGAGAGGCATCAGTAGCAAAAAGATGAGCTACAATTGATAGGAAAAAAACTATAAATTGTAAACTTAAAAAATATTATCAGTTCTCAAAAATAAGTTTTGACATGACCAAGCAGGGTGACTGTTTCAACCAAAAACCTTGCTGAGAAATTCCATTTATATAATTACATTTTAAATGCTGCTTATACAAAATCATTAATTTAGAGGGGTGGAATTGAAAATATCTTATTATAAATATAATCACTGACCATTTTAAAATATAATCATCAAAAGAAGTATGAACACTGAAAATAAGAGAAGATTTAAGGTTTGCTTACAGATTTATTGTCATCATTACTAGATGTTGGATCTTTGTAGCTGGAGCCTGGTAATGCTGGAAAATCTTCATTGTGTATTGAAAAGTCCTGGGACTGCTCACTTGCTGGTTTTGTTACCATTCCAACTATCATCAAAATGAAAGCAAGAATAACATTAAATGACTGCTAAGTAAAAAAATTTTCTTCTGTTGATCTTGCTTACTGTCCATTTTCATTACGCACAAGCTGCATAGCGATGACTTAAGAAACAGGTAAAGCAAAATAAAGCATATTCATTCAAAACATCCACACATATTAGACTAAAGCCTCTTATTTAAGTGTGAGCTGAGAAACACTCCGGGTTAAATTCATAGAAACATCCACTGCACCTGTTTCACACATCTAAATAACCAAATAATCTTTACAGGCATTGTTAAAGCTGTATTTAGGTAAATCCACTGATGAAAGATGTACTGCTTTTACACGTATAATACTTTTTTTCTCCATCTCCTAAGTGCATGAAGAATTTTTTTGCATAATCTCTTCAGAAGCACATATTCTCAATGGACAACCAGCTAACTTGCAGCAGAGTATGTTAACAATTAAATACTTGCCCATGACATAAAAGTGACTCCTACTTTCAGTACGAAAACTGAAAACATTTAGCCTGCAACTCTCAGTGCTCTGATCCTAACTTTAAAAAAAGCAGCCCAGTCACACTGGAACATGGATTCTGACAACTTAACAGGAACTTTTTTTTAATGCCAGTTCAAACCAAACCAAACAAGCCACCACACACGCACCCAAGGGTGATTAGACTTTGCTGAGACATAATACATTGATTTGGTTGCAAAGAACACTGCACTAGAAGAACAGAAGACAGAAGGAAGTCTACGTTGAAGATTCTTAATAGATGGATAGGACTAAAATGGTTCACTAGATGACAATACATGACTTTTTTCAGTGATCTGGAATTAGAGATCAAAGTTCCTTTATTTAAGGAAAAAACCAACATTGAATTAATCTTGTTTCTGCTATTCATCCAGAGTTACGATGAAGTAATTTCTTCCACTGGATGAATAAAATTGATAATGAATTCACTTTAATGGATATTCTTATTCCATCTAAAAGTTATCTGAAGTACAATTTCCTGAATAATTAATTAAGTACGAGGAAAGTAGATAGATCTCTGCTCTGTTTTGAACTTGTCCTTTTCTTGTCCACAACCAAGTGTTCTCTGCATTTTGTGCTGAAAGGTAACATCCACAGTTTTTCACATTTTCATTTTTTGACTGTTTCTACCTCCATACACATTTGCTGCACTAAGCAGATGCTCAGAGTAGCTCTTTAGAGAACTTTATTTCCTGGTTTATCATGCAGTCATGCAAACAGCTATGCTAGCAACAAATGGGGAAATGGTGTAAGCAAAAGAACAATTACAGGTATTTTTATGTTGCAGTACTGTTTAATACTGAATTCAAGCTCCGTGCTGGAAGTACATCTGTGTGGATCTCCCGCCTATCTTCTACCAATTTTTCACATACTGTCTTCTTTTTCCAGAGCTGGAACTAGATTGTCTTTAAGGTTCCTTCCAACCCAAGCCATTCTGTGTTGAACAAAATCTTACATAAGCCTCAAGCTGTATTAAGTCTCCACTCATGCTTGGTTCTGAGTGTCTTTACCTGGGGAAGTCACTTTTTTCCTCGTGTTTAAAAATTCAGTTTAACTTGTTTAACTCTTTCTTATCAGCTATCTTATGCAGAGGGCCCTGGTTATGCCAAATCCACGAGGCTACTTTTTCTTGATAATGTGGTATCTCTTTTGTCCAATTAAAGTTGGCGCTATCTCTGAAAAACACTAGTGTTTTATAGTTAGAAAACACTAGGTTATTTCTGGTTCAAAATTTGACAAGTGTCACAGAAGTTTAACTTATGGTTATAAAAGCAACTTTTCAAAAGAGCCGATGCAACATGCGTAACAAAATACTAAAGCAGTAACAAAAAGAAAGTTTTGTGCCTCACGCTAAGCTTACCTGAATTTTTTCAAGACCCAAATAGTAAGATTTGTATCCACCTAAAGGTTTTTCCTTTTATTATTTTTTAACCTGTATAGCAAGAATTATATGACACATACTTGGAATCTGAGTGATAATAATTGATGCTTACAGGTTATTTTTTGAAATCAGATGTTCATCATAAGGGTCACACCGAACAGTACAACAGCAAATACTATCAAATAAACAGGAAAAGTTTACAGTATGTTTACAGCTCAGGACCTTTTACACAGTAACACCTCTACTAATAATACACTATTCCTGCAGTTTGCTACTCGGACATCAACAGCTCTTGTATATATGTAATTTGAATAAAACCTATTAACTAAGAAATTTCTAGAGTGAGCAGCCTCAGAGCAATCATACCATACAAACCAAATTCCCCAACAATCCCTACTGACAGTAAAACTAAAAGAAACACATTCTAATACCTATGAAAGGGACTCTCCAATCACAGGATCAATTATTCATTTTAAAAAATGAGTCTTATCATCTCACCTATGGCATTTTTGAAAATACTCTCTATTGTCTAATGAACAGCAACAGGTGAATCAAGCAAATTTCATTTCATTCAAAGAGCTTTCAAAAGTATGGTCTTACCATAGGGTGCCCTTCCAGCTAAAGGGTTTATTAATGGAGTTGGATTGCCACTTCCTTCCCTTCTGTTTCTGTCTGCTAGTGCTGGAAAATCTGAGAGGTCCAGTCCTGTCACATTTTCACTTCCATCTATAATAAAAACAGATATTTTTAACTCTGTTATGTATTTTTTTTCAAAGACTTCATTGTGAGCAAGATAAATGTAGGACATATTTTCTTTCAAGTTGATCTTTTTTCTCATTCTCTAATTATTGCATATAACTACAGACTTTTTGTTACAAAAATACCCTGAAGAGCATCAGTATGTTTGAAGTTTGCCTTCAAACGACAGTCAATACCATTTAGTAATGGTACTGACTCCTCCTCTACTCCTCTTGAATTAGTCTGTACATATAAAATACAGACAAATTACCAAAACTTCAGTTCAGAAAAGGTATTTAAATTTGTTTTAAATTTGAAGAATTATCAAGAAGAAATTTGAGAGAATAACCCATATTAGCAGCAGCAGCATCAAAGAGTTCTACTGTCCTTAGATAAGGCAAGATAAAGCTGAAGCAGCTGAAAAGCCAATGCCGTGCAAGTTACATGGGAACACTTTTTGATTTGCAGCCAGAAATGCTACATAGGTGAGGCCAGAGCTGGAGTTCTATAAAAATGTCACAATGTCCTAGGGAATTCCCAAACCATTCAACTCTTGTGACATCACCAGCACCTCAGGTTGCTTCATATACACAGCCACATAGAGAAACAAAAGCACATATGAACCCAAAGCATTTATGGACGAAGATAGTTTCCCCTCTATAGTGCATTAAGTTCAGGTGAAGAAGTAATTCCCAGAGAAAAATCATAACTTAAACAACTGACTGAAAGGATCAGATGATAAACCAGCTGTTCAAAAGGAGTTTGATATAAAAAAAAATGCTTCCCCACTACTTTTACATACCTAATGTTTTCATAGAATATGGATAAATCTTCTCCAATACCCTTTTCAAGTTCAAGAGATGTTTTGCATTCCTAACTGATTACGTATAATCTATAGGCAAGTGACGTACAGCAAATATATTACAGAACTACTTGCACTTTGTATTCAAAAGTATTACAATCCATTGCTATAAAGTAGTACCAGTTACCTAGCACTGCTTTTGGAGCAGCATTTCTACGGAACATCTGAAAATTGTTAGAAAGTTGCACTGCAACAGAACAAAGGATTATTAATTAGACTTATTAAAAAAAAAAATCTACTGTAGTTTAAGCTCAACATTAAAGAGAGTAAACTCACCTGTTCCATTAAAAATGTTACTTGATAAGGAGTTATTCATTCCAAATGCCTGATTTCTGTTCATCCCAAATCCAGACATACTGTGAAAAAAATCCAGGAAGTCAGACAAAAGAATATAGATACTTTGTATTTCTAGTGGAAGATATTAAAGGGAGAAAAAAATTGAAATTATTTCAAGTCTAAGCAACCCATATTAGCCTCAACTTGTTTTTTAATTATTTTCTGAAAACATTGAGCACCAGCATCAGGCACTGCTCAATCAGGTCAACTGGAATGACTTCAAAATAGCTTAGTTTTTTAATAGCCATTGTGTATTAAGACATCTCTCAACAAACAATTTATGACTAATATGATCATTACTCAATAATTTCATATACAAAAATGAAGCAACATTAAATGCAGTAATTAAAAATCAGGCTGCAATCCATTCATTGGCAGGTGGGAAGCTGGATCAAGAAAATGACCATGTTTGTCTTTATAAGCTGAACAGTTATGGTATGCAATCATGACCATGTACACACGGCGTTACTGTGAGCAGAGGGATGGTCTCTGTCATACAAGGACACGAGCTAAAATTTCATATAGTCAAGCAAAAAAGGCTTGAAAACATCTAAGTATCATAGAGAACTACTGTGGTTGCACAGCTTCACAAATAATCACTTTCATCCTGTGGGAATCAGATGTTGAGAAGCCCAAAGGTAGGCCCTCAGGTGACTGAAATTCTGAATGTTTGAGCTGTGAGAAATCACAACTTCCACTTCTCCCTGCAACAGAATAGAAGCTGGTATTTTGGAAGTTTCCATAAATAAAAATATGAAAAGGGTTCCCTAGTGGAAATTTTACCTATGCAAAATTTCTACAGTTACAAAGCTGAAGCATTTAACTCTAAATTTGAAATACCTTGAAATGCTTCATGTTCAAAAACCTAACCTAAACTATTCAGAAAACACTTCTTGAAAGTTCCATAATTGATGAACCTGACAAGCAAATGCCGTAAGTTCTTTTCCCCAAGAGTAATTTCCAAATTTTGTTAAACACCTTAATTAGCCATTGGATACGTACTACTACTATACTTCCACAGGTTAATAAACTGTGGAATAAGAGCCAGTCATTGTTTCGGAGATATCTCCTTCTGAATTTGTAAAATTTGTAGCTTATTGAAAGTAAGAAATGCAAATAATAAAAGATGAGCATTTTAATTCAAAAGTTCCTACACACAGGTATTTCATTATCTACCCTACAGCTAAGTAATTAATTACCTACTTAAACAAGTACTTTGTATACATGTATCAATATTCAGTATCGTTGTCCTCTACACAGTTAAGTACATTACTATTTCATCTGGTTGTGATCTCAAATTTCAAAAATACTTTAAAATATAGTATTTTTTAAAATTATCAGCTCTGCTTGCCACTAGACAGGATAGAAAAGGAAAATTCTGTGTAATCAGAAGCAAGATCCAAAGTCTTTTCACACTCCAAGACCACAAACAGCTATTAAGGGATCATTATTTGCTGTGCTTGAGAACAGTATCTGTATGCCTATATCAATGTGAAGCGACAAAACTAATCAGATTAAGTATCAGATAATTGTAACGCTCGTCTTCACTTTCCTTTAGCTATTATGTAAAATACTAGATGGGGTTAAAGGTGGCACCTGGCCACTACGAGCTTGTTTATGATCTGTCTAATTGTCACTCCTCTAAGGAAGGGTCTGAAGGAAGGAAAAGGACTTAACTGGGAGCAGAGATCAGGAGGTAATGGAACCACGTATCAAAAGCAGACAGCCATATTAAGCTGTGACTACACACATTAAATAATTAGAACTAAGACAGTGCTTACTACAATTTTATCAATATGAATGAAGCATGAACACAGCACTGTAACACACTTAAAGCCTAATGATTTGTGATGTTAGTATCCTGCCCAGAGTTAGAAAGAGAAGAAGCTATTGAGAAACTTTTGGCAACCAAATGAGCACTAAGTCCTTAAACAAATGGCAAGCCACTATTTTCTGCATCATTCCAGAATTTAAAGTAGTTAAATATCAGATCCTTACTGTGTCTGAATCAGTTTACTTCCCTTGCAGAATAACTAGCATGTTTTTAAATTTTGCCTTACTTCTTCCCAAAGTCCTAGATGAACAATTTTAAAACAGATGCATATGCTGAAAATTCAAGGTATGTTTCAAAAATAAACTTGGAAATACATGAGAAACATCACATACTTTAAAGCGGATGCAGCAGAAATTCAACAGTCATGAAGAGAACTTAGCTTAAAGGTGTCAAAGACCTTACAAGAATATTACAATGAGCTTCAAAGTTTATTGCCAGACATGAGTAGATGACACAGGTTTCAAGATTTATTCTAATGGATAAAAATTACATTTCCAGAGCAGCATGTATATGGCTGTACAGGGATGGTCCAATTAAAGAGCCTTACCTGTTCACAGTAAAAGGTTGTCGAGAGGGTTGCTGCTTTGGCATACATATTATGCTTGGAGAGCTTCTGTTAGGGCTGCCTAACCCTGAACTGCTCATGCTGTTTGTCCTGCTGGGAATTCCAATGCCCTGACCAACCTGGGAGTGGTTCATCATATTCCTAGGATTCATAGGCAATATCCCCCTGAAAAAGAAAAACCATCCACACAGATGAATCTGTACAACAGTATTTGGCTACTCATTTAGATTACTAACGCAGGATGGACTCCAAGCTGTTGCACCTTAATTTGTGCTTAGCGACCAAACACTGTGTTTGGATTATTCTCTATAATTAACGCAGTTCTGGATTTCTTCAGAACTACCAAATGACCCATTACATGCTAATCAAGTCCTTCATCAGGTTTAGAAAAATACTTAAGTATTATACATATGAAAAGGTGTTACAGCTCTTTTCTAAAGAGCACTTCAGACCTACTACCTTTATATTGTCATGCAGTGTATGACATCATAGCAAAATTTTAACTATTACATCAAATAACCACCTCTTACATTCTGAAGCAGAACATGCCAGCAATTTGTTCTTTACATACAAAAATAAAATACTGTGTTACAGTAAACCCTTACTTTTTAATGGTATTATTTCCCTAACACAGGAAGTGATCCATAAACCTACTTTTCTTTTTTTTTAATTTATCAGACTGTAAAGTATGAGGCAAAATATGCAGAACACTTAACAAGAGCTCTGCAGAAAGACACAATGGCAGAAATATCGGCTATTGATAAATACCTGCTCGGAGATGGAGGCGTGTGAAGTGACATTGTTGGTACCCCTGTTGTTGGCGTTACGTGGCTCGGTAACTGAGTGCCTTGTGATAAGCTGCGATTTAACTGAGGGGTATTGTTGCTCATTCCCCTCATTGGAAGGCCTAGTGCACCTATTGAAAAAAGATTCAGAGGGGTGGAGATACAGAGCAATCAGCAACAAGGTCTTCTCCATCAGGTAGAGATGGAAACAATTTATGCTGACAATGTACAAAAAAAAGTGTAAAGACTGAAGGAAAGTGCAGTGTAAAAATTAAGTCCTTGTTTGGATAGAAGAAACTCAACTATCAAATTTATCCTCATATCTGTTTAACTTTGGAAAAGCTCTTTAAGAAATTTCTCTGAAGTCACTTAGCAAATTTTGTTTCCTTTGACATACATAGTATACATGAAGGATTGAATTTTGAGATTTTCAATAAGGACATGAAAATCTACAGTTATCTCAAAAGAAAGCAGCATTTTAGGAAAATCAATAACTGCACTCAAGAAATATGCTTTTGAATATGCACTCAAGAAATAATACTTTTGAATAAATAAGTAGGTATTTGACCAGTATTTAGAACACTGATTTATCTTGCTAAAAATTAAGCAAATCTCTGATAAAAAAAGAAAGTGATGGATCTTTAATTAATAATAACACTGTTTTTAGGACAACAAAAGCAACATTTTAGGCCAATTCTCTCTTTACAGTTCAATTTGCTTCTTTATGGCAACAGTACTCCAATGTCTGTGGTAAGTTTGACCTTATCAGAAAAGAAAGCAAGCAGAATTTTAACAGCGTTCTATTAGCATTTAGAAACAGAGAATGGTTATAACCATGTGATCAGAAGTATTTTCTACACAAACAATTGTGTGTGACGGAATAAACCAAGCTTTTCAGTGAGGTAAAAAAATTAAATTACTTCAACTGAGAACAGCTGGAAATCAGTTACTGTCCTCTTTCAAAATGTCAAAAAACTTTATTAAGTTTTTCATCATTCTCACATCACTTTTCTGTGTTTAAGAAGTTTCAGAATTATGTTCAAAGACAAGAAAAAGTCATTTAGTGCAACATGGCAATAATAACAAACTCTGCATATAAAAAATGACGGCTGTGACAGTTCCTATTGCTTTGGCATAAATGCTGCTGGGGCAGACTGACAGAACTCAAAATGTTATCTTGCAGACCAAACAAAAGAAAATTCTGATGGATCAGCACTCTCCCATGGTAGAACACCTCGGCAGAAGAGCTGAATATGCCAATGTATAACGTGGTTAAATATTAAGAATGCAAAGAACAGACACAGCATATGCTCAAATTATTATCACAGACAAGGTCTGAAGAAATCTCCCAGTCACTGAGCTTTTACACTATAAGAGCTGTAGTCTGTGTCCTACCCTACAATTTGCAAATCCAGGGAGTTTGCAGTAAAATTCAAGTGTGTAACACTCAGATTTATCTCTATACATTCAGATTAAGTGGTAGTGTGATTTGCTATAACAAGCATCCTAACATTTCATTAAAAGTTGATTACATTGAAGTGTTCACTGTAAATATTTTGGCAATTTGCTGCATCAGAATAATTTCAATGAGCATAAATATGTATTATAAATAATATTTCATGTTGATTAACAATTACATGGGATTTTAAAAATAAAACTGTAAAGAAAAAATACATACACTTCCAAACTAGATACAGCACACCAAAAAACACAATTAGGATATTCAACCTAATTTTGTGCAAGCACTTGTTTTAGCAAAGCCACTTTTAGACTAATGGTTATTTCTTCTCATTGTCTTTCATTAAAGTAGATTTTTTTTTTTACTGATGAGGGCTGTTATAGGGAAGTAGAACCATATTGCTGGCAAGGAAGGGCAGTTGAAATACTCACTGTAAGAAGAAAAAAAAACCCAAAACCCTTTTTTCTTACACTTTCTTTTCCCAGTTTTCTCACTGAGATGAGACCTATATGGGTTATGTTGAAGGCAGACTAATGAAATGGCCAATTTCCTTTCTACTTGTCAAATTTAGGTTACATTAATGCTGTAATATGACATCTTGCTTAATGACTGACCAATCATTAAAAGTGCATAGGCACTATCAGTTTTGTTTTTCCCAAAGAGTATTTTAATCATAACTATGACTTCAACAAAAAAGTTTCTTGCCCCTTTTTCTCAAGATCTCATAGAAACTGACATCTGATATTTACTTTCAAGGTTGTAGGTATGTATGTCTACATGTTACAGAGATTACATCCTGGGCACAGCAACCAACTGAATGAAAAAACAAGCTGATAAAAACAACACCTTAAAAAATAAACAACAAATAACTGTGATAAACAAAATGAATAAACGACTTCGGTATCTATATACAGTAAAGTCTGAAAGGTTCAACAGTGCCAGAATCAGCACCTAAAATAACCAAACACAACTCTCAGACTGGCTAGAAACTGCTCATATAAATCTCAAGTAGCATAATAAAATAGCAGTTTATATTACAGAGTCAATGTTCAACAACCATTGAGATAGGAAAAAAAAAAACTTGTAAAAAACCAATGCCAACAAAAAACAAACAAAGAAAAAAAGCCACACCTAAACACCACTGTATTTTTCAAACCATTTGAAGAAAGCCAAAAGAAGTTGGGAAGGCCATGCATCTAGCAAGCAAAGCTTTGCGTTTGTCTAGATAAAGTCCAGTCTCTCTAAAAGTACTCTGAAGGGTACACTTTTTCTTGGAATCTGAGTTAGATGCACTCAGTAAGACAGCAGAAACATTTAAAAGCATACAGTGACACAGGAGAGATGGCATTCATAAGCAGTTTTACTTGTGAAAGTGTATCTCAGATATTCTGAGTCACTGCCTGAGTGCAACTCTCAGTTACCACAAGGCTCAATTCTCAATGCTGGCCCTAAGTGAGGTGGTTCTTAAGTCAGCATTACCCTGTGACTGTCGCTCTATAGCTCTTCTATTGCAATGGTGTCCATGAGTGGCAGACACATGACATCGCCAGGGAAAGAAAAAATACAGTGATGCAGAAAGCAATAATCTTAATGGCACAGCTCTTTGTCAAATGCAAGTTGCCAAACAGGTACACAAGATGTACTGTGCTCACACAGAGCATGGAAGTACCAGTTATATTTAAGGTATAATTTCCTTCTATTCCTTACATAGTTTTCTGAAATAGGCTCATTTTGGCTCAGCCTTCTTTATGATTTCCTTCAGAGAGTCTGTTAAATCATAGAAAAATTTTTTACAGTATGATTGTGTTTGAATATTTAGCAGTTATAAAGTGACAATATGACATTTTGCACACTAAACAGTGCAAAAATGCATACTAAGCAAAGCAAAAATGTATCTTAAAATAACTGTACATAAGGAGACATAGTCACCAGAAAACAAAGCCATCTGCATGTTCCAGATTATCAAATGGTAATCTATTTAGCATAAAATAAACATATTATTAATAAAAAGAATTCTTACTTTGTTGCCCGTATAAACTTGCCCCAAACTGAGACAGCTGACCTGATGTTGATGGTGATGCCAGCATCTAAAACGTAAGAATAAGAGGTTATTAAAGACAAAGCTATTGTGCTATCTTGCTCTGGAAGTTGTCAACACCGTGTTATGCCAAGAAAACCAAAACAATTGAAAACTCATTCAAAGTCATGAAAAATTTTAGAAACTCCCCAAAATATCTGTACATTAACACGTGTAGCAGTATATTACACATCAATAAAAATGTATGACTATCTATATAAACACAGATTTTACTTGCAACAAAGAGCACAGAAGATTTAAAGCTTTCAGGTTTTCTACCCTTGCAGCCAGAAGACCCATCATTACAGAAGAAAAAAAGTACTTATTTACTTAAATCAGAGGTCCTTTTCCTTTACGAAACATGTCTCACACAACCAGATCCTTTCCTGTTCATCAAAAGAGAGTTTCATACTATCATTTACAATATGATTAGATAGGTAGCAACAGGTATATACCAACAGACACGAACTTCAGGTAAGATTCTAATGTTAAAATTATAATATATTGCCGTAAGAGCTGGCTTCATGCTTGTACACAGATATAATAGGACCTACAAATGTCAGAAGCAATATTTCCTGCTCTACCATGACCACTTTAGAGAAGTCATGTATTACCAAGAAAGAAGGCAACTAATGTAGGCACTTGCTATCAGATTTCCAGCCACTGTTTTAAGAGGAAAAGAATAAATAGTTCTCCATGCTTCTGAAGAAATATAAAGCATTAATAACTTTGAAAAACGGGACATAGAACATAAACACTTGGAAAAAAACCCTTTGTAATCTTAAGGGAAGTTAAATATTGGAACATCCATCTCTGTTTTTGTTGATCATCACCAACACTAGGATATAGCTGATTGTCCCCCTGGAGCAAGAAGAGTTTTTATCTGACCTAATCCGTCCATCCACAACAGAACATGTTACTTCTACTTAGTAACACATGGGCAAATAGCTGCTTGTTTAGTGAATTAATCTAGACTTAGACTAAATTTTAGGATGGTTTCAAGGAAAGAAATGTCTGAATTCTTAGACATAAGGCTTTCTGGGGTTTCAGCTTGAGAGTAAAGAATTCAAATCAAAATAACTTTACTGTGGTAAATTAAAAATGGCTTAGTTGATATCATCTAGGCAGATGTAAAATTCAAACAAACCTTATAAGCTGAATGTGCTAATTGTCTATACTGGGGCCAAATCCAGATGGTAGAAATGAGAAAGAAGACAGATCTTCTTTCTTAGTGAAGAACTTACTGTGAACAGAAACCCACTTTAAGTAACACCCAGTGGATTCAGCTCAGCATTCATACAACCAGGTTCACAGGCCATATCTGCATCAGCAAGTGATGCAGCCAGAGGGAAATACATTTGTGAAAAGATAAGTTGGCTCTGGGGGCCTACCAGCTGCTGTATGCTTTCCTAAACTAAAACACTTGATGCCATAGACTAGATGTCCATTAGTGAGTGGCACATGTCTGATTCAGTGCTGCAGCATATCTTCCAACCACTCTTCATTCGGGAGGATTAAAATTCACTCACAATAATATTGCTCTGCAACACAAACCAAATCATGCTGAAGCAGAGACACTTGGAAGGCAAGATTTCAAAAGCACACTTCCCCCCACCCCAAGCTAGCAAACTGATGTTCATTAAACACTGATAAAACAAGCTGACAGTAGTTTTTAAGAAAGGAAAGAAAGTAAAATGATGAGGTTAAAAAAAACAACATTCAAGTTTGACAAGTTGCAAGGAACACCTAGAACAAGTTGACAGCCTAGAACATGTTGCAAGGTGTGGAAAATTGTAATTCTGTGGGAAAAATGAGAGGCAGAAAGTCATAAGACACCTTCTGAGACAATGATAAAGGCACGCAAGGTCAAAAATAAAAGCCAGTACAACAGACAATGCGCTAGAAACATCACTCAAAAAGTACTACCAGCTTTGGGACAGATAAGCAAAACAGTTAAGTCAAAAAGGAATATCCCATAAGCACATCTGCTCAGGGAATTAAAAAATTGCTGTGGTGGCATGTGATGTAATAAGCAGAAAATGGTACAGACCTCAGCATAAAGTCTTCTATTTATAATGTTAATTTGGAGTAAAAAACCCCAATAACTAGAAAACCTCTAAGAGGCAATAATTTACTTTAAAGAGGGAAAAAAGAATCCTACCTATTGTACAATGAGTACTACTTGATTTTTAAAATTCAATTAAAAGCAGTAGCAAATAATATTTATTGAACACTGCTTATTAGAAAGATTTTCTTTTGAAACATTGCAAAGTAGGTTACATCTATTGTGCCACTTACTTTTACATAAAAAGTTAATGCAAAATGACTTGTAGAGAAACCTTTATAGAAAATCATAATAAAGGCCAAGTGTTGAATTCAGTAACTCTGATAATTTAATGTCATAACATACTTAAAACATCCAAGTTAAAAAGCCTCAAGAAAAAAAAAAAATCAATAAAAAATCCAGTGGATCTGTTCCAGGCAAATTAAATGCAGCATTTCTCAAACTTTATGGACCAGGAATATTCTGTATGGATACCTAATTTATTTAATCTCTACTTTGTTAAACATATTTTTCTGTCATATCTAAGTAATACAGTTTAAAATTGTCTTGGTTTTTTATTTCCATACAATTCAGATCAGCAACAAATTCAGCAAAACCTTAACCTCTATTACTGGAACTTTGACTTTCTTTCAAAGTCTCTGAGTCACTATGACAGTCTACTCAAGCTTGGTCCAGCAAAGATAATGAAGATTCAAGATTAATGGTATTAGTAGTACTAAAACAATTTCTTCTGGCATTTTGCAATCATTATTACATCTGACTGGGCTACTTGCTACACAATACAGAAAATAAAACAACTCTCCAAGAGCATACTTGCAACTCTGACTGGAAGTCACTTGAATTTCTTTTTGACTGCAACAGCCAAAAGTCATAACCTTAATGAAAACCAAAGCACACTAAGCCTTAAGGTGACTAAAGCCTTTTCCAGTTGCTAATACTTATTAAACTTTACCCAATTATGTAAGAATCTTAGGGAAAAGCAATTCAGAATTATAGTTGTCACAACCTAAATCTATTTGGTAGTGGTTAACAGCCACTAAACTCAGCATGGGACTTCTGCTTCTATTCCAAAGTTGTAATACTGAACTAGGTAGATTTTTTTTTTTCCAACTAGCTTTCCCTATGTTGTTTTTAAGAGACAGAGGAGGCCTACAACTTATCCCATGGGAACAGGGGTCCTACTGAGCATAAACGACCTTGTGTAACATGGAGGCTGCACTTTATTTTGCCAGGATACAGGAAAGACCAACACTCAGTACTGGCAGGCTGAGAGACTTGAGTTCATGACACTCAAGACATGGACATAATTTTACTCCCAAGTCTCAAACAGAGACAGTGCAATTTTGATCATAGAAGATTATGCATCTTAACTCAAACCAAGTGATGATCCAAGCAGATGACCCCATTTTGCTGGACTGGTTCACACAAAGAATCAACAAGCTGCAATGGGATATCAGATAATTTCTAATCCCTAGTGCTGAGAGATTAAAAAAATAAACAAACCTGCTTTTATTACTCTTGATCAGTTTACTGCAGTTTGACAGTGTCAACAAATCCAAAAAAAAATAAAACCAGCACCAAGAAATGTTTACATTTGTCAGAACTGTGAAGAAAGCCCTGCACCTTACAACCCCCTCGGTAGAGTGCAGAAGATAGGCTGCAGTCTTACTGCGAGCAGAGGGGTGGTGGGAGGAAGTCCAGCAGCAGCGATGGCTGAACAGGCTCCTGCCTCCCTGTGCACTGCAGCATCTCGCCTCCTCCCAGCAAAGCTCCAGCTCAGCGTGGGGACAGCTGCCTACCACCACTGCTGCCACGGCAGCAGGGTGGCACCAAGAAAACTCAGTAAAGCAATTCTGTGACGGCTGCTACATTATGTAGTTATAGCAGAAAACTACTTTCTTAAACATGAGACAAGCTGTAGCTAAAATATATTGATTTAGCACTATAAAGTCAACTGCTAGAAGCAAAATGTGTTAGAATAAGCAAGTTCGTGAGAAGTATCTGGCCTGATAAATGATGGGTTTCTCACAGATGCAAACATCAGCATAATTTTGTATTTACAATACTTTATTTCTGGTATCTGCCATCTGTGCTGCACTATTTAGTAACAACATCTGACCCACAGCCTCAAAAGAAGTGGTGTTATACTGATGTAAAAAACAGTACTAAAACAAGTCAACAAATAACAGATAAAAATACTAGAATTCAGGCAGTTTTTTAGTAGTGTTATTAGTCTTCCCCTTTACACCACCTTGTAATACAGCACTCACAACAGTTCCATGTTACAATAAAGTATTTCCAAATTTCAGTATCAAAAATCAATAAAAACTTGTATACATATATAAATATAGGGTATTATCTGCCAGTGAAAATTACTACTGATGTAAATAATTTGTGAAATATAAACATATGTAGAATATGTAAAATAAATGAAATTTTATTCAGTCTTTCCTATTTCATAATTTCTCATTTGTTGTGATCTTCTGCCTCCAGCAGCACTTGGAGAATACAAGGAGGTAGGACCATACTGCTGAGAGCAGCAATATCTCAAGACCTTAGAGACAAGATTTTGCCTTTGAATGACAATGACATTATTACCGTGAGGTTAACATGGCTACCCAAGTAAAAACAAATTCTCCCTGTGCAGAGAAATTGTTTGATAGTACAGTTTATCAATGAGCCAAATGACTACTGAAAGCTCATTGAAAGATGCTATAAAAAATGCCAGAGCAATTAAGAACTAGGACAACAAAGCAAATATTTTATACCAACTAAATAACCAGCTACATTAAAAAAAAAAACAACAACAACAAACCAAACAAAGCGCCCACCACTGAGCTCTTAAACCATCAATATTATACAACAGCATGTTCAATGAATTGAGTTATTGGGCAAGAAACCATAACCTTCCCCTTCTAGAAAATGCACATGATTTTATGCATGGA